TCCAATATTGTCATTCTAGCTTTATTTTCGATTTGTTTTTTCCTCTCTTTTAATTATCGAGCAAGAGGATTCTATAATTCTTGTCTAAAGAACAATAGGGTATATGAAAGAAAAACTAAAAAGGAGTAAAAAAAAAAAGAGGGGACTAACTACAAAACCTAAACATAAACCAAAAAAAAAAAAAAAAAAGATAACAAAAAGAAGAACAAAGAAAAAACAAAAAATCATGAAGGCACTGTTTTTGCCTGTACTTGTTTTTAAAAATTCTATATAATACTAAATAAAGAATACTCTACATTTACTTTATCTCTCTATTATAATATATTCTATTTATCATATAGAGAGAATGATTAAAGTTTTTATTTTTCTTTTAAGTTTGACATGTGTTGTCTATTATAGGTCCAATACTCATATTGTAATTTTCTTGTAACTAATATTACTAATTTTGAAAGGTAAACAGTGTTGATTTTTTGAAGAAGATATGCCAGATTTTCTATTTTTTGGTAAAAATTTCAAGAGAAAAATCCAGTAGTGAGGACAGAAAGAAAAACCAATTTGAGAAGAAGTTGTAAGAGTATATGCTATATAGATCTTATATTAAACCAAATAACTATTTAAGCCTAAGTCTCATAGCACTTGACAAAGCTTCAGAGCTTATCTACTACTTTTTTGCTTGGTAGTACTTATGTTTTACCAATGGACTTCACTTACAAGGGTTTGAATCTTTTTTATCTCTTTTCAGTTACAACCAAGCATGCAGTAAATAGCCTCTCTAGTTACTTCAAAGTAGAGTTTTGTTATGTTTGAATATAATAACTATATAGTTTTTATAGGTTGGATTTTTGGAAAAAGTTGGTGTGAGAGATCATTGGGCTTCTTAGTTTACTCTAATTTAACAAACTGAACATAATAATACAATTTCTGCTATCTGGTCTCATCTAAATTTACCAACTATTAACTCATTTTTAAATTCTTTAGACCTTTTTTACATATCATATAATTTTCAACACTTTTCACTTTTCAATTATACTATACAAAGAATTTAGACATTATCTTTTCACAATATAACAATATTCAACATCTTTCATACTATGCTATAAACAATAACTCTACAAACCAAATCTATCTAAACCCAATTATCTTACTATTAATAACAAATTTTAACTGCTTTAATCTTTCCTATTATCAAATTAAAACTTACAATAACCCTCTTATTCTACAAATTGACTACAAAAAAATTTTGACTCTAATCCACATATCAATCAACCTCACTACACTGTTTTTTATTCAATTACCTCCTCAAATAAATTTATACACTCATAATATTCAACTTATACAACAAGCTACTAACTCTATTAACTATTAAAATCAACTTATTAATCTTAACTCTATTCTACAAAATTTAAGTCTGACTGAACTCAACTTCTATACAGATGCTTCTATTCAAAATCTAAAAACACTTTCTATAAGGTCTGGTATTTGATGGATCTGTAAAGAAAATATTTTAATCAAATTCAATACAGCAACCCAATCTTCTTCTGATCTATTTATATAGAATTAATGTTAATTATATTTATCCTATTTGTTACACTCTTTAGTACCTTACTTAATATTTATATTAACAACCTAACAGCTATTAAAAATATTACTTTATTTACTCCAACCAAGTTAATCCAATAAAAAAATTGAAACATTCTGTTTATAATTAATTCTTTAAAAATAACTAAAAATATTAATCTTAATCTTATTAAAGTTAAATTCTATTCTACAAATTCATTTCACAATCAAGCTGATTCATTAGCAAAACAAGGCACAAACAAACTTATTTTAAAAATACAACTTTCTTTTTTTAACCCACCTACCTATTTCTTATAGAACAATCATCTTATCCCTTTCAAAATTCATATATTTGTTATAAATATTATTACAATTAATGAACTTAACACATAGTTATTACTTAAATTCTTTAACAACATACTTAACATCAAATGGTTCCTAATGTTCAAAATATTAAACTCCTTGGAACATAATCCACAACTTTATTCTTTTCACATTAAAATTCTAACAAATAACCTACCCATTATGCAAAATTTAAATATATGCTACTTATACCTATATACTACTCCAATATGCTATTAATGCTCATATATAGAAGATACTCTACATATACTACAATGTAATAAAAATAATTTAGATATACAACAAACACTTTTTAATACAATTGACAATACTCTAACAACACTTAATATTTCTACTATTTCATAATTTACTTTTCTAAACACAATACTTTAATTACACTCAACATAACTAATCCACAATATTATCATATCTTAAATCTATTTGTTAGCACTATACTCAATATGACTTTTGACAATATTAAAATACTTATAAATAAACAAACTACACATCTTCTTATAAACTTATCCAACAATCTTCTATCTTGGTTTTTTAACAAACTCTGGTTCTCTCATAATATTGTACAATATCAATAAAAAACTGTCTGTAATATTACCTCTAAAAGCAAATGCAATAGACTCTTCTTACCTACTATAGCTTCACTATCTAATACAAACTCAACTACAATTTAAATTAATAATAATTCTTCTGCTATTGAAAAATAACTCTTTTAAGATTACTTACTAACTTCTTGCTTTATATAATAATAAAACAAACACCTTAGGTCCTCTTCAACCTATTTTAGCTAGAAATTGATAAATTAATCGAATATAGCATTTATTAGAAAATAGGAGGTGTAATATCATATTGGGTATCTTAAAAGAAATAATCTAATTAAGTAACACAAATGTAGTTAGAAATCTTTAGTATAGAAATTTTCTTCTATGTACTCTAATATTATATATAAAAAAAAAAAACCAATTTTAAGTTAAAATAAAGAAATTATATATTTTAAATAGTAAACTTTATTATTTTTAGTAATATATTTTTCACCAAAATAGTAATATAATTAAACCTTTCTATAGTCACCTTCTTTATAATTATATTTACTTATAATTATATAAATTTTTAAAACCAATTTATATATCATTTATAAAATTTCATCTTCATATAAGCATAAACTCTCTATAAGTATCAAATTCTTTAAATCAATAATGTAATTATAGAAAAATTTGACTGTACTTATTTTTTTAAAGACAAAAAAATACTATTAATAGAAAAAAAGAAATTAGATATAAGTTAATAAGTTAGTTTGTTAGATTTTTTTAAGTTATTATTAATATAAATATTAATAAATTTAGTAGATTTAATATAGTATCATATTATAGTAAATATATAAGCTATAAAAATTCCTATTCATAGAGTAAATGAAAGTTTCTTATATAATGTCAGACAGGTTAGTACTCAAAAGAGGATATATATTTTAATACTATTAAACCTTAATTAACAGCTAGAATTTTGCCAGCAGTATTCTAGTTTTACAATCAGATTTTCTGGATGACCCAATTACAACTTGAGGAACTACCCTTTTTTCCTGGATTTTTCGGCCGGAACTTCATCGAAGGTGTCCTTATTTCATACATTTATCCTTATGGCAGTCTGCGGCAGATTTTCAATCATGGTTCTGGCACAGATTTTGTCCTAAAGTACCCCAGTGGCACTGACAGATTTTCACTGATCGACAGCAATTGACCAATTAGATTACAAGATCAGGTGTAATGTGAAATCAAAACAAAAAATACCATTTTTAAAAAAACCGCCGTAACTCAAATTTCATTTATGTAAAAAAAAATTTCTTGCAAAATTTTAGTATAAGACAAGTATTGTTATAATTATAAACCTGACCTTAATGTAACGTTTTATGAATTTAAAAAAAAATTGTCGATCAGTGAAAATCTATTAGTGCCACTGGGGTAGTTGTATGACTCCTTGAAATTGAAAACCCGGGAGCGCAACCACTACACTATCGACCCATGAGTCACATTGTTCTGTTCAAATCAAGTTATTATATGAACTTCACATTTAAATAAATGTAGTAAGTCACAAAAATCCGATCTATAGCATAGATACGGTGGTCACAGAAAAGATCAGAAAAAAGCAATATAAAACAAATTTCTTCTGCATTTAAGAGTAGCTAAAAATTTTCGAATTAGGTTAACAAATGCAACAAGTACAAGATTTTTTTAAGCTCAAAGTAATTGAAAACCCGATTTGCCATTCACAAAATATTAACGCTGCATGATGAATGATTCTTGCAGCGATACAATGGCTAATTCATTTCAATAATTTTAAACTTAAACGATAATAACGTTCATAGCATTTGTTTAAAATGAAATAGTTGAAAACAGACTGGCAATTCATGAAATACCGACATTTAACTAACAAAATAATTGCCAGTTCTGGCACTAAGTTTAATATTTGCTACTGTTTAACGCGTATTTTGAGAACAGCTTATCCATTTTTGATTATCTTGAGAATAAACAAATCCTATAGTTTGTACATTAATTAAGCATAAAATCATCAAAATTAAATCAACTATTCTCAAATTTTAAAAGGTAAAATGTGTACAATTATTTCTGGACATATTTCGTGACCGCCGTATTATGTGCTATTTTTCAATTTACAGCATGTCAATTATTAATTGCCGCATGTTATTCAATTTGAAATGAAAATACCGTTCTTCAACTGGCATAACTTTACGATTAATTAAAAAAATATTTAAAGTGCATTTAACTTATGTCGAAATCTTGATAATTGACCAAACATATTCAAATTAAAAAGGTATTTGTGTATTTTTACAGATTTATTTTCTTTAAATAAATATATCCATTATTCTTAATATAGATAAACGAAACAGTGGGTGCTAAAGAATGATCAAAGCGTAAACAGCATAGCTCAATAACAAGCATAACATATAAGACTATATATATATAACTTAGATTCATAAAATTTTCGTTTATTTTTATATCGACTTTTCTCAAAAATAGATGTTAATTTTAATTTATTTTTTTCTAAATATCCATAATTTATAAAAAATAACGGTTTCATTCAAAATTAATGGGGATAAAAACGCTTAAATTATTATTTTTTTGTTTTTCGTTATTAACCCATTTCCTAAGTTCATCTAGTGTAGTTTTTCTTGGATTCTTTGTTGTACCATTATAATATGTATACATACAGGAATAGCTTAGACTAATCTCTTCGGTTAAAGTATGAAGCATTAGAGTGAAGTATCCTCCTTTTTCATTTTTGCTTCTTTGGTCAACAAGAGCAATAAAGTCATTTCGAAGCGTTTCTGTATCAGAATAGCCTGAATTTTGTAATGCGCTTATACGATTTGTCGTTGAAGGCAGATTTGAACCTGCTAGTAAGAAATAATGTTGAAAATTAGGTTAACATAAACCGATGTATGAGTTAAAAAAAATATATATATAATCACATGACATACTGCACCTTGAGAAAAATGTTCTTGTCCAGATTTACATATTTGACTGTCATTTTTAAGAGCCGATATATCTTTTTCGCCTTTTTTAGTTTCCGTTTGAAAAGTTTCGCGTATTTGATTAATATTAATCGATATGTGTTTTTTAATTGGTTTAATTTTAATTTGGAAAGTTTCAAGTGTTTGCTTGATTTCGTTTTTTATTTCTTTTTTGATTTTTTGAATTTCGTTTTGAGAAGCTTCACGCATTTTACTAACGTCATCCTCAAAAATCGATATATCTTTTTCGGCTTTATTAGCATCGGTTTTGAAAGTTTCGTCAAGAGTTAATATATCAGTTTCTATTTTTTTAATTTCAGTTTCAAGTGTTCTATATATATCATCACTAAGAGCTGAAATAACTTTTTCTTTTTTTTCGGTTTCAGTTTGGAATATTTTATGTAATTTATAAATGTAATCACTAAGAGCTGAGATAGCTTTTTCTGTTTTTCCAGTTTTGTACCAAAGAATAAATAGGCATACGAAGATAAAAATGTATTGAATATTTTTCAAAAGAAAGCTTTGGATTACTTCTAAGTTGACATGGCGAAGGTTATCGAAGATTGATGCTGAAATTATGAATAGCACGAGTAAAAGAACATTGTGTATGTTAATGATAGGAAACATTTTATTTGTAATTGTAAATTTGCAGTAAATATGATTGTATTTGATGACTTTATGAATAATCTCAAGCGAGCACCAGAAACTACCTTTTTATAAGCTTCAAAACTCATTACAAAGCAAGATACCGGATTTCGTCAAAAATTTATTTAATCTATTAAAGGGATAGATTATATATCATTATTAAATTGTAGAATTTTCTTCAAACCCAACATCTAAAACAGTGCAACCAGAGATTTCCTTTTATAGAGATAATGGATTTTTCTAGATTACACCTCGGAAAGTACGTACAGTGTAAAAGTCGAAATCGCTCACCCCGGTGGTGCTACGCATCCGACGTAGCACAAAATTTCCTTTTCTTCTATTTGTTCTATTTTTTTTATTTTTGTTATTTATGCTATTTCTCAAAACGGGTGGATCGACCAAATCGATTAAATAAAGTAAAAAGAGTCGATCCATACGAAAGGTAAAATAGGTGGGAAGGGTAAAATAAGAGCAAAAGTATATTTAAATTAGATATACCCTTTATACGACTATGTAAAAATAATATATAAAAACGATCGATTTTACCTCAAATAAAAACAACTCAAGTTGAGTTCAAAATTTAAAAAGTCTTAAGTAGTACGAAGTATAGTACTCAAGGTAGTTTCCCGCTTGCAATAAACACGCTAAAGATAATCCGAATTCGTATTGTCTTGCCCCCGTGATCGTAAAATTGTAACCCTTAGTTTAGAGAAAGAGTGTAAAATTAGTTGAATTCCAATTTAAGACCCTTATATATAACCCATTAAAGTGATTAAGTTTGTGATCAACGTCATCAAATCTAAGTAATAAGGTCGCTTACCCCGAAATCGCCGAAATTCGTGTCCCCGTGACTCAGATCCCGTGACCCGCACCTGAAAAATTGGAAAATTGGATAAGATACTATAGTAAAGGAATAACCAAATTAGAAATAAAAGCCTAATACTTATCTCTCAAGACCCCAGTACTAGAGAGAAACCGCAGCAATACGCCACAAGACCTAAAACTCGGACCAAGTCTTTCCACGCCTCGATCGAAGCCACCAATTAGGACTTTGGTGTATTGTAAAGTAGAATTTTCGTTAGATTAATAACCCTAGGCCCCTGTGTAACCATCCCGAAAGTCGAGTTCTATCTAGAACCAGTTTCGACTTTCTCAACGGCTATGTCGATCATCTACCTTAAATGGGTTTCCCGGCAGTATACACTGTATCGGCTGTATACTTGGTATCAGATCAATAATTTATATCGGTGGGATAAGGGGGATTAATGGGATCAAAAATATAATTAAAATAATCATTATAAACATTATGATCAGTATAAGTAGCATAAACACTATAAGTGGTATAAGCGGTATATCACGAATAAAGGGTATGAAGTGTTCTATGTATATGAAAGTATATAATAAAGGCTTCGAGCCCTCCAAGAACAGTTCAGTTAGTGCTTAACAAACATTTCGCCCCATAATAATTCTCTGTTTCATTATATAATACAAACCATACCTACAATCATCATTATACACTCGCCAAATATAACACGCCTCTTCGACTAAGCCTGACTTGTAGGTTACACGACATACCCGTTTGTCAAGCGACTGACTCGCCGTTTCGCCCGTGTCAATATAAACATATCCGGATTTAAATGGATTTATATTTTTTAGTTCTTACTTATATCCTATGGTGTTTAGTACTATGTTTTAATTTCTATAGGATTAATTAACACAGATAGTGTTTGGCATTTATTGTATTAAACACCATAGGTGTTGATCACCATTGGTAGTAATTAGCCACGCACGGGATTTTTAATGAGATTATTTGGCCTGCATTAGTATATACTCTGGCCTGCATTAAATGTCATCCGGTCTGCTTAACATTAATGGGCTAATTTCTAATTAGTAATTTATATACATAAAACTAATACGCATGCATTCTATGTGGAACTTTTTATTTGTTTATCATTATATATATCGATATATATGTGTAAATATTTTTTGCCGTTGGTAGTTCTTACTATTCATTGTTATAATAAATATATGGGCTAGGTGATGAAAAAAGGGCCCAAATTGACAATTTTTTCTAAAGTAATTTTTTTACATAAATTAATTTAGAATAAGGTTAGGATCATTTTTTACTTAAAACATATATGTTGTATTAATAAAATTATGCAGTATAGCTCTTTAAAATTTGCAATTTCTTATAATTTATTATACGATTTACAATACAAAAAATTGATTTTTTGAAGATCTTCTGTTTTGTCAATTTGGGCCCTTTTCTTAGCACCTAGCCCATTTACAATACAAAAATTGATTTTCTGAAGATCTTTTGTTTTGTCAATTTGGGCCCTTTTCTCAGCACCTAGCCCATATAACCATCATTAAGTTATTCTTTAAACAACGTTATTATAACATGGGTGTTAATAAATCAATTTGGAAAACTTGGACCAGACCCAGATTATAAACAAGATGTATGATTATTTAAAATATATTATTTTAACAAGAAATTATATTTCTAGTGATAATATATTTTTATAATTCATTTTTATAATTCATGAAAATTAAAAAAAAAACTGCGATTTGCCCATTACTAACCATTGGTGATGTTGATAAACAATAGCTAATTTGAAAATTATATAGTTCTATTGGCTAACTCTTATTATGTTTAACTACAAATGAATAAAAATTGATTTCTTTTTAGGACTATTCAGATAATTTTAGCTAATAGAAGATTAATAAATTCGAAAGTAATAAATTCACAATAAATCATCTATGGGTAATTAGTCTTGAAACTAAATTAACATTTTATTACTTTATATATATAAAATCGGTTAGAGTTCAAAAATAATTACCCATATGTGAAAAATTAATAGTTTTAAATTGTGATTGATTATCTCTAAAAAAATAAAACTTATAAATATTTCTGAAATTAGCCAGAAAGAAAAGATACATCTTTAAAAAATAATATCCAAAATTTAATATGATATAATGGTGTATCGAGAAATTTTTATATTGTCAATTATTACTTTGTTCCTTAACAATTTAGTGTTGTTTGTCGTTTCTGTCACTTCCGTTACTCATCAAGCTTGTCCTACTTTACCGCCTTCTTGCATCAGCAGTAAGTTTTAATTTATCAAAATTAACAAAGTTTTATTGAATATAATACCAATACTAAAAACGTATTATTATCAGATAATGCGCAACTTCCAGAGTATGGTGTTAATTAAATTTATTTATTAAATTTATGAAATTTATTTAATTTAAATATTTCTGTATTAATAACTTAATGACCCATTTTATCAGAGATTTTTTATCAATAGATTGTGAATTTATTGATGTCTACGAATTTCTTGGAAGTAAAATCTCCTTCAAACTTCCTGCACAAGTAACTTTAACAGACTATTATGGCAATGTAGTATTAAATAAGTATATACGTCCAGATAAGCCTATTGGTCTTTGGCGTGGGTCGGACTTTTTCAAAAGATTAATTATGAATGAAGGTTAGTGCCTCCAAAATTTGTTATTATTAATTATTTATACTATTACATATCCTAAATATATTTATGGTAATATTCAGGATCTAGGTTTGAAGAAGTGCAACCTGAAGTGATTGAGACAATAAAAGATAAAGTACTTGTTGGTTTTGCTATAGTACAAGATTTAACTGTAAGTATTATATAATTTTTACTAATTAATATATATACATGTTTTTAATTAATATATATATAATTAAATATCATAATTAAGTCATTAAAGATAGACCACCCATTAAACAAGATACGTGATATTTCATTTTGTAAAAGATTTGTACATGAAAAAGGAAATGGAACAAAAAGTTTAAAAAGAATAGTGAAAGAAGAACTTAATAGAGATATTCAGCTTAATAAACGTCACGATGCAGTAAAATTTTAATTTACAATGTTGATAAAGTTTATATCAAAATTAAATATATAATTTTTAATTAAATAAAAATATATTATTAGGCTGAAGATGCTAGAGCGACTATGGAATTGTTTGCAAGATTCAGAGAACTTTGGGAAGAAATGGTGCCAAAACGGGATTATCCTAAACGATGGTTATCAACAACGGCTGCCTTAGTGTCATGTCCCACTACACCACCATCTTCCAGTGAACCACCATCTTCTAGTGAACCTCAATGTCCTATAGAACCTATACCATCTCCTGAGTAACTATGTTAATTTTTATGTATTGATTTTATATGTCTATATTAAAATTTTAAATAAATCATTTTATTAGAGCCTACACGGCAATAAGTGTCGCAGCAATTAATATGGGCGATCGTAAAAATTTCGATCTTATTCCTTATCAAGTGACAGTAATAAATTATTATAAAAAAACTATATTAGATGAATATATAATTCCAACTAAGGAGATTCCAAATTTCCAAGATCAAACTGGACATGACCCAGAAATATTTGCCACTAGAGGTAAATATTAAGACCATAACAATGAATTATTCATATTATTTGGTAGTGTATTCTAAATATAATTTATCTAATATTCAGCACGTAATTTTGCTGATGTACAAGAGTTAGTGAGAAATAAAATAAATAATAAGATTCTTGTTGGTTTTCATCTTCATAATATTCTTAAGGCAAGTATTTCTAATATTTAATTCCGTTATATATTACACACTGATTTAAATTAATAGTAATTATTTGATGCATAATATTAGTCATTAGGAATAGATCATCCAAATGAAATGAAACGGGAAATCGAGCTATATCCTGGTCGTACTAAGTCAAACCCTAACCTTATAGAAGTGGCAAAAACAGAACTTAATATGACTATTTTAGAAAATGGCAGACAATCTACGGTAAATTCAATTTTATGCTTTGCTAAACACTATAAAAATTCAATACACAAAAATGCACGGAAGAAGTATGGAATTCAATGCATAATTGTTTACTACACGTAAAAGTATACGTGACAACATGTAAAATATACGTGAAAAAAACGTAAAAATGCATGCAATTCGCACCTTTTTACATGCTTTAGATGTGCTGTTCAGTGCATTGTCCCGTGTATATTTACGTGCAATGATTTCTTATAAAGAAAGCTTTATATTAAATTCATTAAT